ATTTATGAAACACTCTTTTCGACAGGTCGTAATGATTCGGAGCCGGAAAGTTCTTTATGGAAAAGCAGATTTTCATGAGACGTTTCACAAGTATAAAGGAAGTTTCCCGACTCGAAGTTTTCGCGAAAGAACCGGCGACTGCGCGAAAGTTACAAAGCATGTTCTTAAAATTACTTGGCGTAATTTTTGTTGGTACAAAGCTTCCAAGAAACGCGGCTGCTTAGCGGCGGCTCTTTTCGCTTCCCTAGTTCTCTCATTGTGAATTTGGGCGGGACTTTTCTTTGTCTCGTGCTCGTAGTCCCCAGGACCCGGGGTCACGGAAGTCCGTTCGTCATCTCTACCCTTCATTCTGCTCCAAAAGTTTCCTTTGTATTTCAGAGTAGTAAAGTTTGTCTCCTACGGTATAAATGATCGTTCGCGAGATTTTTTATAAAGCAGAAGGCACGGCATCTTCATACCCCTCGAGGAATATCGTAAAAATCGGTTGGTTTGTGCTCGATGACCGAATTTTTCCTAAACACGCCGTGTTCATCGTAGTCGTATCCGCCGACGTCACGTTTCGAAGGAATAAACAGACCTGTTGTATACATAAGCAGCCGCGGAGGACGGACGAGCCATAGCTATAAACATAACAAATAGGTACGATAAATATATTGTTATGATTGAAAATAGAGATATTTAATTGTACATGAAACTGTGAGCAGATTCAATCATTTATACATATAAAAAGAATATATATATATTTTTTTTAAACAAAGAAACTAATTAATTATATAATTTTGTAACATATGCAGTATTATATACATACTAATAATCTAATCTAAAATTTTTTATGTTTTTTAAAAGAAAGAGAGAGAGAGAGAGAGAGAGAGAGAAGGACTTTATTGATGGCTGATATATATTTCTTAACGTATGAACGTTGACTGATCAATAACAATCTTTTCTCCTTCTCGATAGCTATTGTTGTAGCATCCCTACTACATTGCATGACATAGTACTAACATACCAAGTATACAGGGTGGTCCGTAATTCGTGATACAACCGGCAAGAGGCTGATTCTTCATGAAAAAATAAGTCGAAATTGCAGAATAAAATTTTTAAATTTCATTTTTATAATTAAAAAATTTTTCTTTTTAGGAAATTTTCAAAAGGAAATATCGTGTCTCATTTTAATTTACATATCCTATGTTAAAGCGTGCATTAGACAACGTAAACAGAAAAATAAATAGTGGTCTGTATCGAGATCCGCTCAACGGCATCTTAATCAAGTGCACGCGTACTCAACTAATATTTAAAGTCGATTTTATCAAAAACGAAACCCCATAAAAAAATTTCATTCTGCAATTTCGATTTATTTTTTTTCATGAAGAATCAGTCTCATCTTATCGGTTGTACCACGAATTACGGACTACCCTATATAAACAAAGACTATTTCTTTCTCTCTCTCTCTTACAATTACAATGTAGTTTTTTTTTATTCAATATCTAAAGCTGATTAAGTGCTCACATGTTAAATATTGAAAAAGAGAAATAGATACATATGTTGACACGTATATTATCTACATATATTTGAAATGTAAACTAAAACACAGGGAAAGGAAATTCTATTGACGAAATATTTTATACTTTGCCTGCAGGACCACGCCAAGTGCCCGGATGAGATTTTATTTTTCGAGATGTTTTCTTAAACAAATCATCCGGCAAAGTGTACTCTGTTGGACCTGGTCCCTCATACACCTTTTCTTTAATTCTAACATCGGTGTAATCGATACTAACGCCACCCTGTAAATTATTAAATCCCATAGAATATATAGATACTTGCCGATAGCGAGCAGAAAAATTGCGAATAAATGAGGTATGAATAGGAAAAATGCACGTTCTGGTATATGTTTCCGTGGTGCCTCTATATTGTAACAGCCAGGACCTGGAAACTTATGCGCGTCTTTTGGTATGCCGAGTGTCTGCCTGCTCGCTCCGCTCAAAAATGGATAAGCATTGCCTATAGAACACACAGTCGCATAATATAAAAGCGTATACAAGGCGAGCGAATGCAAACTTCAAGATTATTGTACATTTTATAAGTTACCTGGATCTCGAGTTGGCTTTGATATATCCGATATGTCATAAATCCCTGGACCCATTCGAGCAGAAGTCGACATGGCTCGTTTTACGAATCTTTCTGTTCTATCAAACGCCATGTGCTGGCTTTTGCATACACGATTGGAAAAAAAAAAAGCTCTTGAAAACACACGTAACTTATAACCTAAGCGTAAAAATAAATATAAATGTTTTCTTAAAAATACATCATAATCGCGTGAGACAAAAAACAACTTAGAATCAAATTTTTTTTTGCTAATAATATCTGTCGTTGCATCTACGTAATATGTTAAATTAAAGTTAATTTGAAAAAAATCTCATTTTTATTTTAAATATAAATCTCGATTTAATTTAGAAATAATATAAAAAATAATAATATAAAACATATTTTTATTGTTTTAATCTTTGAAAGTGGAAAAAGATTAGAAATAAATTTAAAAACATCTCTCTTAGGCATCTTAAATATATATTTAATTAAAAAATAGGTTTTAATAAAACATTAAGTCTTTTTCTATTTTGTATTTTAATAGAATCTATCTCGAGAGTGTGACTCAATGTTTAATATAATCAAATTATTTTCATGGCATTAATATTTTTTTCTTGCCAAAAATAGGTTTTAATGAAACATTAAGTTCTTTTTTTATTCTGTATTTTAATAAAATCTCTCTCAAGAGTGTGACTCAATGTTTAATATAATAAAATTATTTTAATTGCATTAATATTTTCTCATTAAAAAGAATAGGTTTTAATAAAACATATTAAGTTTTTTTTCAATTCTATATTTTAATAGAATCTCTCTCGAGAGTGTCACTCAATGTTTTATTATAATCAAATTATTTAATGGCATTAATATTTCCGTTAATATATGAAAAGCATCACGCGCCATTAAAAAATTTCAAACGATGCGAAATTTCAGGTGGACGCGCGAATTTGAACGATCACGTGATCGAATTTCAGTAACTGCATATTAGTACGCGTCGCTCCTCCGTCCCGTGTAGATCGAAGAGCGATCGTTTCGCGTTTCCGCGTCTTTATACCCGTCCCTTACGAATCTCATGCACGAACGAGTACCGGAAGTGCCGAATCTCCGACGACGGACGATCGTCTCGATATATTAATTGTTCTCCGCGATCGCGATTAGTGTCTTTCGATCGTATTCCGGTGCCCGTCCGTCGTCCGTTACGACGCGAAGTGGCGTCCCCTCCCCCACCCACCGTCTTTTCGGATACATTTCGCAGGATTTCGACGAGCGTCGCGAGTGCCTTTCAACATTTGGAATATCGAGGATTATCGAGCAGCATCAAGGAGCATCGAGAGAAGCATCGGAGAGACCATCCCGACGGATTAATCGCGACAAGTGAGATCCCGTTTATCTCACATATCTCGCGTAACGGTCAGTGTTCACGTCCGCCATGATGGCCGCGGGTGTGCTTCTCTCTGCTTGAGATTTCCCCGACGACCGAAATCGCATCGCGTCCGCGACGAGTCCGTCAGTGCCGAATAAATCTACGGGCGATCGCTTTACGTCACGCGTAATCCGTTCGATCATGACCGCACGCGTTTTCCGATGATCGTGCCTCGTCGGATCGTCGTCTACGACAAAAAATTTCGCGCGTCCTTCGTGAAGTTGATCGAGCGTCGGGAGTGCCGAGTATATGTACGGGCGATCGTAATCGCGGTTCAGTCGCGATCGAATTTTTTCTGGACATTCTGATGCAATATATATATATATGACAGAAACTCAAACTATTGACGAGTGCATTCGCTCTACGTATTCGTTCGATCGAGCTGACTTTCATAAGTGCATTACGAGCGTATGAACAGTATCAAGAATAGTATCGTCGAAAAGCATCGAGATTGCCGTGGAGGATTAAATCGAGAGGTTAATGTGTTTCGTTGGACTGCGGATCGGTGAGTCTTTTTATAGATCATTTTACACGTGTTATCTGCTTCTTGTGAATTTTTCCCATCGTGTAATAACTTGTTACACGTTTCCTCAAATTATCTGGAATTATCAGAAAAGGTCCTTTGGCCCCTCCCTCTGCCACTCGCGTGATTCGGCGAACGCTTATGTCAGTCAAAACAATTCCTGCGCTTGTTCGACGAACACATGCCGCTTTATCTGATTTCCCCGAAACGATCGACACGAATATCGTGACCACTTATACCCGTGCTTTTTTGTGTTAGTAATATAATTTGGTACAATTGAAAAATAATTAAATAAAAGATATATATATTTTTTTTTTAACTAAAGCAATATTTTATATGAAAATATAATTAATATTATTTTTAGAGAAAGCTATTCGAAAAATAGAAATATAATAATTTATTTTTGTAATCGCTTTAAAAATATAAAATCAAGGATATATAAGTTAGCATTAAATATTTATTAAATATTTCATTTTGATTATATATATATATATATATTTGTCTAGATAATAATAATTTTATATTAATATAATATAATAATTTAATAATTTTAATATAATAATTTATACTCGCCCCATTCTATGCCCCGACATAAATATGAAAGTTTTAAATATTTTTGATATAAATAGAATATATCCTGCACAAATGAGTGCAAAATATAATACAAGAATTTTATAATAAAAATGATAATTTATAACAAATACATAAAACATATGACAATTTAGTATAGAAAAATGTTTGAACAATTTATATCGAAAAACTTGCATAGTTATCTCTTTAGAGATATTTCTTTAAATTTTTTATTTATTAAAATATTGAAGAATATAAAAATAAAATGTTTCTAGGGAGCAGTCGATAATATTTGACTCGAAAAGACGTTATCAGTATCCCTCAGTTGGTTAGATTACTTCGGTCGATAATTCGAGATGTTCCTTATTGTGGTGTGAAACATTGTCGGTAGTGATGTTGGTTTAGGCTTCTAAGGTTATTGTTTCGATTTGGAACGACGTTAGGGGTTTCATTGTCAGAGGACGTTAATGAGGTCGCTCAGTTGATTAGGGTATTCGATCGATAATTCGAGATGTTTGATATTTCCTCATGGAAACGTGGTGTCGTAGTGTTGTAGCAAAGCAACAACAGCTTCGTCGTTACTAGACAACAAAACGATACGAATTACTGAGGCCTTTTTTTCGTAAAGTTATATAAACAAATATTGAGAAATAATGACGAAAAAGGAGGATCAATTCGATGGAATGTTATTGGCGTTGGCGCAACAACACGAAGGCGGTGTAAAAGACGTAAGATTCATTTTCTTTCTGATTGAGGTTAACCCGCACAATAAGATATATATTTGTGTTTTACATTAAGTTTTCTTTTCTAGTTACTAGATACCTTCTTTAGTTTTCTGGCGAGAAAAACAGATTTTTATACTGGAGGCGGTGAAGGAGCAGCTGAACAAGTAATTGTCTTTATATATTTGTTGTATATGCGTAGCTATGCGAGATTAGTTTGGTAGATTATTCTAAAATTTCTATAACCTAATCAGGAAAATTGTTTCTTTATGTGCAGCTTGTCATGAGCAAGTTCAAGAAACATGAAGCTAATGCTTTAGCCAAAGCTGCCTCCGATAAAGCGGAAAGAGCTGAGCAAGAAAGACGACGTAAGGAAAGACTTGAAAAGAAAAAAAAAGAGGAACAAGCAGAAGAAGAACAGCTAAATAATGATTCTAGAATAGTCGAGTTAACTGATGAACAGGCTGTCAAATTACAAGAAGAAATAGATAACAAGGTATATATTTCAAAGATTGCTTTAATATATTATTTAATATTTCCCGATGAAAAGTTTTACGTAGAAATTATAATAATACTTTAAAATTTTTGCTTACACACAGAAATTAGCAAAGGACGCTGCTGTTGCGGGGCCTAGTGGTGATCATAATGAACATTCTAAAGATGTCGAAGACAAGAATGATGATTCTAAAGATGACAAAGCGGATGAGGAAGAAGAAGATGAAAAAGAGAAAAATAAACTGAAGCCTAACAGCGGTAATGGTGCAGACATGCCGAATTACAGATGGACACAAACTCTTGGAGAAGTGGAAGTAAGTACACATTCTTATTTTCCTTTATCACTATTAATTACACATGTGGCGCTAAAAAATTCTTTTTATCTAAAAAAAAGATTTAAAGAAGTAGAATATTTTGAAATGCTAATTTTTCATTATACAGACCAATTTAGCTGTGTTTAAATTTATTATCGATGATAATAGTTATATGAGTATATTAAAATGTGTCGATAAGTACGAAAATCAATAGGTTAAGATCACTTACCATGTGATATACTATTTTTCGGTGGTTATGTGAATATTATTCGATATGCTGCAAAAGACAGGTTGAAATGAAACGACGTTTGGTATATTTGACAGTTTCTTGTTGAATCGACGATTAATTAATACGCATATAATATCACAGACGCGAAAAGGGATCGACGCAACTGCCCCCCCCCCCCCCCGTTTTTCCATTTACGTTTATCTCTGGAATAACATGCCGACGGAAATCCAGGTTTATTTAATGCAATTTGTGTTAGTGAGAATTAAGTTACGCGCGGGCCCCTAAATAGATATTTGCTATCTTGGTCCCATCTCGTCGATTGCTTCCAAACTGTCTGTCGGTTTCGTTATTTATTAAAATGCGATCAGATTTGAAATTTTATTAGACGATCAGGATTGGTGACACTATGGCGATGCCTTTCGTATTCCTTCTCTCTTCATCAGCTCTCGATAATATCGACGCGATTTACAAAGATTGGTAAATCGGTTGAGAACCAAGGAAGAGAAGCGTCGTTGCGCTAAAAGTACATTTTATTTGGAGCAATCACGAACCGCATCATGTATCACTGTCGTCCGTAACCCCTTACCACATATATCTTCTTATGCGAAAAAATATATAATGTGCAAAAAGGTGTCATAATCATGTATAAAATGGTGAAGAAATTTTAGAGAAAGTTGCTTGTGCTCTACATATAACACGCATTAGCGGTAAGGGGTCAATTAATATAAAATAATACAATATTCGTCGAATCGTGTCTCGCGATACGAATCGAAGAAATCGTTAGTTTCTATATAAATACAGCAAGACTATCCCATCGCGAGGATCTCGTTAATCCCTTAACAATACATATACGTTGTTTATTACACAAATGTAATTACTGGTTTTCACGTACCACACTTGTCACGGTGCAATACAGTATATATATATATTATATATATACTTAAAAATTTAACCGTCGCCGAGAACGTCTGCTAACTGAGAGCGATCTGAACGGTTTAATAGGGCAAATATAAATACGAGTAATTCAAATTAATATCGTGACTGGATGAAACGTCCTCTTTCTCTCTCGTTTCTACGGAAACAATATTCTCGACTTCGTTCTTTCCACCGTGATCTTCGCCAGGTCTGTTTCTTCGCTGCCTTTTTCTATCGAGATGATCATCGTTCACGGTCACGTGTCATCGCCATTTCTTCCTCCCGTCACCCTCGGCCTAGTTGTACTTGTCGCGAGCCCTCACTGCAATCAGAGGTAAATACCGGTGAGAAGGTTTTGTGGATGGTGAATCCACAGAGATCGCGCGTGATGTTGAAACACGCGGTGGATGTGGCAATAGGAATTCGCGCCGCGGCGGCTGTTGCCGCTGCGCTGCGAGAGCAGATACTTACTTTCCATGTAAAGGATCCCGGCAAGCAGACCGATCATGAACAGAAAGCTCATAGTGCACACGAGTACGGTGAGCTGGTTTCGCGCGCACCAAGACTTCCTGTAGACGGTGGTCGGTCTGCCGAGACCGTTTACGACCGTAAAATGAGTGCTGCTGGCTACCGAGGCGGTGTCAATCTGTTTTGGTGCCCTCACCGTGGGCGGATGTATGGCGGCGAGATTTGCCAGATTCGCGGCTGTGAGTAGCAACGTTCCAGACGCGACGCTCTGTAAACCGATTCGGAAAGATTCGATTATTATCTTGGGAAATGGCGACGATCCTTCTTGTTTCCTATATATAATATGGGCTTATCATTTTTGTCAGTCAATTTTTATTTAAATTTTTAATATATATAACTTTAGTGCATAACTTAAATTATTCGCGAAATTTTATTGTTAACATTTATCGAACGATGAGAGTCTAATAAAGTAAAATTGTTTTTTGAGATTTGCATGGGAATTTTAACTTCGGTCTTTTAAGTTAATTTAAAATCGGATTTTAATTTTAATTTAAAATTAAGATTTATTCTAAATTAAGATATATATAAAGAAACAATTTATTAGTTAATTAATTAAAATTAAGAGAGGTGGGGAGGGGGGCTATTTTAATATCCTTGTCGAGAGGAAAGAAATTTACATGTGTACTGGCGGTGGATCCTTGAGACGACGTCGACCCTCTCGAAGGGGAGTTTGGATGCAAGTGATGAGCCCAGCTTCCATTTTCACTGTCTCTCTCGCTGCGCCCGACCAAGGACGGCCTTGGGATGTGCCAGGAAAGCGGGCTGGCAGCAGCTACCGCCGTAGTTGTCGCCACCGCCGTCGTCTCGATCTGAAACCGACGTAAATCGACGTGAAGCTTTGATTGCATAAGCGATAATGCCATGCCGATTGCACCTCTACTCTTTCGCCCGTATGTCCCCCATCTGCGATCGCGTGTCGTTTATCTGTCACCAGAAAATATTATACTTAGCTACCAACGATAATGTATAAAACGCGCACTTAAATGGAAAGCTTTTAAGACGATGATAAAATTGAACAATTCGCGAGAATTATTTTATTATAGTCACGATTAATTTTATCTATATCTACTCTAGCTTGAAAGAAAATCAATCTATTGCGAGATTATATCTGGCAATTTCTAATAACAAATTGGAATTATTTTTTTACACATTTGATTCGATTTCTACATATTTTTTTGATACAGATATCTTTTTTTTTTCTATTTTTATTTTTTTTTCCGGTTTATTAGTCGGGATGTACTATAAGAGTAATTACCAATTTGTTATAATTTTAAAAGACTACCGTCCGTATTTGGTTGATATTAAAAATGATACAGAAAACTGGCAATGAGTGAAAGCGCATTTAGTACCCGCCAATGTGCATTAATGCATCCAATAGAATTCGCTAATAGATATTTTAACACACATGCTAATATTTATATTATTGTTACTGTTGCAATCGAACAGACAATCGCATTTGCACGCAAATATCATTTAAATTCTCATACTCTTTAAAGTCCTTATATTCTTTAAAATATTATTAAGAAACAAGTTTCAGTCAATTCGTAGTTTCAATATCACGTTTAATTATATATTTAGAAACAATCACGGAATAGCCAATATTTATTTAATAATTCATATATGTGAAAGAGAGAGAGAGAGAGAGAGAGAGAGATAAAAATATGCCACTTTTACGAGTCCATTTCTCTATCGTACAGATTTCACCGCGCTTAGATTGAGCCTCATTTAAAAATCCGTCGTGTATTTTTACATCGAATAGGGACCTAAAGCGCACGGTATCAAAGCAAGATGGCACGTATCGCGAAAGCATCTTCTGCTCCCACTCTTCCTTCCTCGCGAGAGGAAGATTGACGAGAATTTCGGCGTCCCCCGTGGAACACCTCGACATTCCGGTTTGATCGTTGCACAACGCCCGTTGCGCTCTCGAATTCTGTGCCGCGCGCGTCAAGTCCGCCGCCGTTGTTTTTGTACATCGTTCTCGTTCTTGGTGCAGAAAGACGCGACGAAGTCGTCGACGTCGAGTTCCTCTCCCGCTTCCTATCCGGATGCACCCGCCGTGCGCCTCGAGAGTAGCCGTAGCCGTGGCATTTCCGTGACTTCGCGCAGGGACGGATTTGACATGACGTGCCGCGTTATCTCGTTCGCGTATACATGCCGATTACGCCAGTTAATTGGCAATTTTCGCACGTAAATTAAGTGCATTTCGCACCGGTGTGGCCTACCTTCGCGACCGGGCGTCGCCCAAGGACCGTGCCCGCCGTAAGACTGAACGAGTTTGCGCGTTCTTTTTCATTCCCGGTGTCGGTTTTTCAGGCGTGCACTGGCGGCTCGTCCCAACTGGTACGACGACTCTAATGAAACGCTATGTTCCATACCTGTTATGTAGCATTCATTCTTTAAATGAATAAAGAAGATTTAATTGAACCGTTTCAACTATATATACATATGATCCCCGTGAAAAATGCTTGCCTTGTCTTTAGAAATGGTATATATTGAGAACTCGGTTCAAAGGCCACAAAGAAGGATATTAAATCTTCTTAACGATCTGTAACAATTTTTTTTTTTTAATATTATTAAGAAACAAGTTTCAGTCAATTCGTAGTTTCAATATCACGTTTAATTATATATTTAGAAACAATCACGGAATAGCCAATATTTATTTAATAATTCATATATGTGAAAGAGAGAGAGAGAGAGATAGATAAAAATATGCCACTTTTACGAGTCCATTTCTCTATCGTACAGATTTCACCGCGCTTAGATTGAGCCTCATTTAAAAATCCGTCGTGTATTTTTACATCGAATAGGGACCTAAAGCGCACGGTATCAAAGCAAGATGGCACGTATCGCGAAAGCATCTTCTGCTCCCACTCTTCCTTCCTCGCGAGAGGAAGATTGACGAGAATTTCGGCGTCTCCCGGGGGCGTGGAACACCTCGACATTCCGGTTTGATCGTTGCACAACGCCCGTTGCGCTCTCGAATTCTGTGCCGCGCGCGTCAAGTCCGCCGCCGTTGTTTTTGTACATCGTTCTCGTTCTTGGTGCAGAAAGACGCGACGAAGTCGTCGACGTCGAGTTCCTCTCCCGCTTCCTATCCGGATGCACCCGCCGTGCGCCTCGAGAGTAGCCGTAGCCGTGGCATTTCCGTGACTTCGCGCAGGGACGGATTTGACATGACGTGCCGCGTTATCTCGTTCGCGTATACATGCCGATTACGCCAGTTAATTGGCAATTTTCGCACGTAAATTAAGTGCATTTCGCACCGGTGTGGCCTACCTTCGCGACCGGGCGTCGCCCAAGGACCGTGCCCGCCGTAAGACTGAACGAGTTTGCGCGTTCTTTTTCATTCCCGGTGTCGGTTTTTCAGGCGTGCACTGGCGGCTCGTCCCAACTGGTACGACGACTCTAATGAAACGCTATGTTCCATACCTGTTATGTAGCATTCATTCTTTAAATGAATAAAGAAGATTTAATTGAACCGTTTCAACTA